GTGACTCTTCTCTCTCCCCCCAGTGGTCAAGCGGTGGTGAAGCTGGATGTCCAACCCAAGTGCGTGGCTGTCGGTCCCGGGGGCTACACGGTGGTCGTGTGCATTGGGCAGGTACGTGGCCAGAGGAGGGGCTCGGGTGCCATGCCTTCCCCCCACGCACCCTCAGAACCCCGCGCGAGCACTGGCTGTTCCCTGAGTAGGTGCTTCCCATTATCCACTCGCTGGATCCACAGAGGCCCCGAGAGGCTGTTGGGGCCACCAGCACAGGCCAGAGCCGGAGTTTGAACAGGCCGGCTGAGGGAGGAGCTTCTCATGGTCTCCAGAGCCCTGCCTGCCTCAGAGCCAGGTGGCTTTAGGCCTTTACGTCACCTCTCTGAGCTCTTGCCAGCCGTCCCTGGCACACTCCTGTGACAGTTATGAGGAAACTGTGCTCCCTTTGTAAATGAGGCCAAGGCAGGGTGTCCCCCCTCCCCCACAGCCACGTGGCCATCAGGGCAGCCAGCACTTGAGCAGAGAGGCTTCCTCGGGAGATTCTGTAACGGAGCGCCCTTTACAAGCACCAGGCTTGACCCACTTCACACAGAAGGACCTCCTCCTCGCTCGGATCTGTCAGCAGCCCTGGGTGTCTCCGCCCAACCAGGCAGGTGCTGAGACTGAGCTTGTTGGCAGCCGAAGAAAGCTCCCATTCAGGGTCCCCTGCCCGCCTGCAAGCTCTGAGCCGAGCTCCGTTGGTTTAGGGAGAAGGGTTTGTGCGTGTCCTAGATAATAACCTTCCTGCCAGGTGTAAACCACGTGGGTGCTCAGCAAGGTACAGAAGGCATCAGCATCCACAGACGGAGTCCCTAGGGAGGAAAGTTCTGGAAGATCCAGCGCTTCTGGTACACTTGGACTCTTTGGCTGTCATGGTGGGAACATGGGATGCCACCATCCCCCGCCTGGGTGTTCGCTGCAGGGTCAGGCACACGCCCTTTCAACCTGCAGACCCCATTTCCTGTCTCTCTCCCTGCCCCCAGCTCAGCATGAGCTGTCCGAGAGAGACTGGGCTCACTTGGTGCCTAGGCCTCGGGGTCCTTGCTGGGCAGTTCCCCAGCAGCCAGCCACAGCCAAGCACCCAGAGGAGAGCCCTACGGGGCGCCAGGAGATGGGGTGGGGGACTGCATAGTGCAGCTGGGGAGGCACTGCCTGGAGGCCAGAGCTTTTCCTCGGCTCCAGGCACAAGGGGAGCAAGATGTGCTCCTCGCCCCTGTCCCCGACCCTCCAAGGGAGAGAATCCGTGTCTTGGCCTGTGTGGGGTGTCACCTAGTTTGGTTGGGGGAGTTACCAGGAGGCAGAGCATGAAGTTCACATGAAGCCTGGGCAGAAGGTGGGGAGAGGGAAGCAGGTCCGTTCATGCCTCCTGCTGGGCTCCAGTCTTGTGCTTACCACGTCCAAGACCTGTTCCTTTGAGCCCAACAAAGACTTCGTTAATGCTTTTAGGGGAGCTCAAAGGTTTTAAAAAACACAGGTCCTCACAACCAGACCAGAAAGTAACACTGGTAAACAGAAGATTCAGACTATCAAGGATTTCACTTTGCTTGGACCCCCGTCCATCCGTGCTTGTGGAAGCAGCAGTCAGATGAAGGGCAGGTGCACTGCCCAAGACCTCTTTGAAGCGAAGCAGTCTCTGAGCACTGAAGTGTGCTTGACCCAAGAAGTGGAGACTGACGAGGGGAGGCTGCAGAAGAGCTGGTGTATGTGGAGTACGGTGCTGGCCAAGAATACTGAAACTGCCGTGGAGCAAGGAGAACAGACACCTGTCTCGGGAGAAGCGCAGCCAGGTGGCTCCTTAGAGACGACGTTGCTGAGACTTCTCATGCAGTCCCTGAAAGACAACATCGTGCTTGGTACAGTGAAGAATCTTGGAGAAGGATTGACACTGATCGCAGCCGGAGCCTAAGCAGAGCAGACCATGCAGGGCCCCTCCCCCTGTTCTCTGCTTTCTGCCGCACAAGGCCATTGAGACCCAGGGACACCAGGGCAGCAAGGGGCAGGACTGCCGAGTGTGGTGAAGGTGGCACCTGGTGGTGGTTGGGACACGGCGTGCTGCTGCTTGTCTGAGGTGTACAAGCTCACTGCTGATCCTCAGTCGTTGCCGCCCTCATTAACATAAACCATCGGTTCCCAAGCGCACTTGGCCTACTGCCCCCTTTTCAGAAGAAAACCTATTCTGTGTCCCAGGCAGTTGGAGTGCTTTCACTGTAGCCCACTCTGGGATACAGCGCCTCTGCTCTTGGAGCTGTCCTCCCCTCCCAAACCCTCGCACCCACTTTGGGAAACACTGAAGTAAACACACTGCCCCCACGGCGTGTCTGAGCTCGAGCTGCTGTTGTCCTTTTGATCCCCTGGAGATGGGCCTTGGGAGTCCTGGTGACTTGGTGCTTACAGGGAGGGCTGTGATCTGCGAGGTGGGTAGTTCAAAACCACATGCTGCTCCTCAGGAGAAAGTTGGGGCTTTCTACTCCAGTAGAGTTAGTCTGGGAAGCCCACGGGGGCAGTGAGAGAAGGAAGTGATCCAGCTTTCAGTGATTGTTTCACCCTCCAGAAGACATCTGGGGAGACTGGTTTAAGGATTGGCTTCGTTCGGGGCAGTAACCCCTGACTCCATCCATCCTCCACGTTGGTGTTAGGTGCTCTCTAGTCAGTTCAGTCCATGAACTGTGACCCCACAGAAGGAAACGCCGCCCTGTCCTGCACCATCCTCTGTTGTTGTTGTGTTTGAGCCCATTGTCCATCTCATTGAGGGTCTGCCTCTTTTTCGCTGCCCCTCCGCTTAAGCAAGCATGGTGTCCTTCTCCATGAGTGGTTAAGAGTCTGTTCCACAGCCCCCCTTTTCATCAGAATTCTCTGCAGACTGATCCAAATGCAGCAGTGAGTATTGGTTTCTGTACTAGTGTGATCAGCCCTGAACAGACGAACGGGTACATCCACGCAGCATCCCAAGGCCAGGACAGGGCCCAGTTAGGTAGCGCAGAACCAGCCCGGCCCCTCCCCGCCCACCTAACAGTCCGAGGGGATGTACCTGACAGCTGTGCGTCCTCTTTCCAGATCGTCCTGCTCAAGGACCAGAAGAAGTGCTTCAGCATCAGCCCGGACTACGAGCCCGAGGTGGTGGCGGTGCACCCTGGGGGGGACACGGTGGCTGTGGGAGGCTCGGTAAGTCCCAGGACTATCTCAGAGAGGAGAGAAGGGGTACGCAGAGCCCGCCTGGGAAGGGGACACAGGGACCCTGAATGTGGAGCCTGCCAGCCCACTGGGAAAAGCCCCTCCCCAGCCCGGTCCCAGACTGGTCCTTGTCTCTGACTGTCGTCGTCCTGGCAGGAGCCCTGCAGCAAGTGGGCAACACCAGCAGGTCCTGCTGCCCTCTACCTTGCCGGGCTGGATGGAGCAGAGGGTGGGGGCCAGCCCGCTGAGAAACCAGAACCTGCTTCTCCGTCATAGGTCCTCCTTTGCTTCCCCAGCGAGCAGCAGCCATCACCTTGCCCCACCCTTGTCCCCCGTCCAGTGGATTTGGGAGGGCGGGGTGCCGGGGGAGTGAGAACAACAGTGAGAAAAATAGTTCAGTAACTAATAAGAAACAAACGAGGGAGGAGGGAGAGAACAATAGAGAGACTGAGAGGAGGAGGGGAGAGATCGTGAGGAAGAGCGGATAAGAAGGCACGGGGGTGGGGGAGTTACGGGTAGGGTTGTGCTCTGTGGTGCCTGAGGTCAGGCGCCTGATCAGGAGCAGCTCCTGCCGCTTTGCCTGGTGGCTGACCTTCAGGGGTGTTCCCAGAAGGGGTTCTTCTGGCCCAGAGCGTGGCGGGCTGCAGGAGTTCTTGCCTCTGCAGGGGTCACCAGGGGCCCCTCAGTGCCTGTCCCGCTTGTCCACTGAGGTCACGTCGTGTTCCTCCAAACGAGGGAGGGCGTCACAAGCACACGTGGCTTCAACCGTGGGGCCAGGCCAGCCAACTGTCCCCCAACTGTCTTTCCTGGCTACCGACCTCCTGGTCTCAGTGTCCCCCCACTTCTCTGTCTCCTCTGAAGCTCCGGGCCCCCACTTGTCACGTCCGTCATTTGCTCTGGCCCAGCAGGCTCTGAGTAGGGTGCCTGCCCAGCCCACCAAGCCCACCTGCTGGTGCAGGGTTTCAGGCTCGGGACACCTGGGCTGGAGAGGCAGGTTCTCGAGGGAAGTCAGACTAGAACGAACTGGTTCCAAGCCCCGTTTTTAGTCCCCCAGTCCCCCGAAGGTTACTTGTGTTGTGTTGGTGATGGCTGACTTCTCTGTCCCCGTCCTTCCAGGATGGGAATGTCCGCCTCTACTCCATCCTGGGCTCCACGTTGAAGAGTGAAGACAAGGTGCTGGAGGCCAAGGGCCCCGTGACGGACCTGGCCT